GGCACAGAAGCCCTGCCCAAGCCCGCCAGGTGGCTGGGAGGAAGGGGCCCTCTAGGCCCCCAAGGGCTGCAGGGCGGGAGGCCAGCAGGGCCCCTCTGGGATAAAGCCCCTTCCCTGTTTTGCCAGGTTAGCTCCTTTGTGATCTGGGGAAGGGCCAGGCCCAGCCAGCAATCCGATCCCTTTTCTGGGCCCTCCCCCTGCAGAGAAGAGCCCCCCCCCGCCCCCTCCTCGGAAGGAAGCCCCCTCCCCTTCCTCCCAGTAGGCTGAAGGCTCCTCCAGGGATGCCCCAAAAGACCCCCAGGGCCAATTCACCCACTCTGCCCGCCTCCCCAGTGCGACCCCCCCCTTGCTGGAGGATGGCCTGAGGGTCCGTCCCCCCCAGGTGTCAGTGGAGGAAGCTGGGCCCGATTCAGGAAAAGGCTGCCAGGGATTCATGCCTGCGGTTGCTCGGCCGTTTCACCAGGGTCTGAACCCTGGCAGCCGGGACTTCAACTCCCACAATTCCCCCGTGCAACCCTTCCGGGGCAAAGGCAGGCGGGCTCCCTAGGACCCCCCCTTCCCCCTTTGTTAGGTGGGCAGGCAGCGTGCGCCCCCTGGCAGCCCCTCCCTCACGGAAGGGGAGGCCGGCCCGCCTTGCCTGGCACCCCCGGGTGTCCTTGGATGAACCGAACTTAGGACCCGACTTTCTATCCAAGCGCCCCAGCGACGGGGGCAGAAGGCTCGGCCGCTGCTTCGCCTTGATCGGCAACACAATGCAAGCAGATTGGAAAAGAGCCACGTTTCTAGTCCTCAGCGTTGCAAAAGACGCGGCAAGACCAACCCCAAAACCGCAGAGGCCGCGTGGCTCACCAGGAGCCGCCCCGCTGGGGGCCCCGCCGCTCGCAAGGGCAACGGCGCTGCCCGGGAAGGAGGAGGCGCGGGGCCATTAAGGCCGCCGAGGGAGCGAGCAGCGCGGCTGCAGGCGGCCTTCCCTCGCCCCCCCCCCCCGCCCGGGGTTCAGTGCCCAGGCGAACCTCTCGGGCCCCGAGCTCCCTCCCGGAGCGGGGGGGGCTTCCCCCGGCACCTGCCCGCCGCGCCCTCGGCAGATTTGGGCCCCGCGCAGCCCGGCGCTCGGCAGGAAGGAGGCCCGGCCGCGGCGGCGAAGGCGGCCCCGCGCGGGGAGAGGGCCGGGCCCGGCCGCGCCACCCACCGTGGAGCGCGCGGCGCTTACCCGGGCGGGCCAGTGCGGGTAGCCCTTCATCTTGGCGAAGACCAGGTCGCCGCACTTGTAGTCGCGCGGCCGGCCGGAGCGGGACATGGCGCGGGCGGAGAGGGAGGCCGCCGCCGCTGCTGCAGCGCCCCCGCCGAGGCCGCCCTGGCCGAGCGATCGCCGCGCCTCCTCCGCAGCAACAGGCGCGCCCCCGCCGCCTCTTCCTCGGTGCGCCGCGCTCGGAAGGGCCGCCCAACCTGGCTGTCTGCGCGGGCGAAGGCGGCTGGCGGGGCGGGGAGGCGGCGAGGGGCGGCGCTGGCGGCCGGTGGGAGGGCCGCGCGCGGGGAAGGAAGGGACCCCCCCGCCCAGCGCCCCCTCCCTCCCGGGAGGCTCGGGGCTCCCGGCGGGGCTGCTCCGCGGGGGGCAGCCGGAGACCCCCCCCCACTCGGGGCCGAGCGGGGGCTGCTTGGCTACTGCGCGCCTCCCCCCGCCGGACCTCTGCCCGCAGCGCCGCTCCGCGCAGAAAGCGGGCGGGGGTCCCGGGGGGGGGTCGCGATTGTGACGGGCTTGAAACGGGCCCCGCCCCGCAGACCCCCGCTGGGGCCCCCTGGGGGCAGACCCCCCCACTCAGCGGGGCCCCTCCAGCCGCGCAAGGGCTGACGGGAACAGAGGCGCGCTCGAGCAGCCAGGCGAGGGAGCCTCCCGCTGCCCGTCCTCGGTTTCCCGGCGGGCCCCGCGCGGCCACAGCGCCCACCAGCCAATCGCGGCTTCCGGCGCGGGGCCTTCTGGGGGCGGTAGTCCATTTCCCCCCGCTGGAGCGCGGAGGGAAGGCGGCGGCGGGTGCCGGGCCGCTTTCTGCTTCCAGGGCTTCTCCGCCGCCCGGGGCCGACCGCAGGGAGGAGGCAGGGGCGCTCGGTCGTCTTCCGGCAGGTACCCTTGCCATGGGGGGAGCCGCGGCCTAGCGCCCCGCACGAAGCCTGGGACTCGCGTAGCCGCCGCCGCCGCCATGTCCTTAGTGGCCTACGCCAGCAGCGAGGAGGAGCGGGAGGAAGAGGAGGAGGAAGAGGAGGAAAAGGAGGAGAGCGAAGGGGCGGCCACGGGCCCGCGGGGGCTTCTCTCCGTCCTGCCGGCGGCCCGGCCCGGCCCGGCCCCGAAGCGGCAGCCGGTGCGAATCCCGGCGCCGCGTCTGCCCGAGGAGGTGAGCGGGGTCCGGGCCCCGAGCCCCCCGCCCCCCGCCCGCCCCTCCGCCTGACCCGGCCTCTCTGTCTCTCCCGCAGTCCGACTCGGAGGAGGAGGAGGAACCGGCGCCCAAGAAGCCCGCGCGGCCCGGGGGTCTCTCCGCGCTCCTCCCGCAGCCCCGCCGCGGAGCCCCGCCGCCCCGCAGGACCGACCCCGCCGCGCCGCCCTCCCCCTCGGCCATCAAGGCGGCGGCCAAGAGCGCGGCCCGGCAGGTGGCCCGGCAGGTGGCCCAGGAGGGCGAGGCGGAGCCCCCGCAGCCCTTCTTCTCGCTGCCGCCGCCGCCGCCCCTGCCGCCCCCCGGCCCGCCCGCCGTCGCCGTCGCCGCCTTCCCCGACGACCTCCCGCCCGGCACCGAGCCCGACGGCCAGGACGGCGCCGACGCCCCGCTGGAGTTCAAGACGCCACCCGGCGCCCGCCCCGCCCCGCCCGGCTGGCCCCCCGCGCCCGGCCCGGACTTCGGCTCGCCCTACGCGGTGAGGGGCTTGCGGGGCTGGGGGGGGGTCTGGCGGGAGGGTCCCGGGCGCCGCTCTGACCGCTCTTTCCCCGCAGGGCTACTACGGCGGGGGCTACTACCCGGAGAACGACCCGGGCTTGGGGCAGCCCCCCGAGGGCAGCGCGGACGCCGCCCCCGCCTCCTTCATGGACGACGAAGCGGTGAGCCTCGCCTCTCCTGCCCCGCAGAGCCTCCTGCGGGGCCACTTCCCTGCCCCGGATGCTCAGAGCCTCGCCGGGCCGCTCGCTGGGGGAGGGGGTCGGGGTGCTTTTGGTGCCTGGCAGCAGAGACCCTTCCCCGACCCCCGTGTCCCTTTCCCGCCCCGCTCAGTTCAAGCGTCTGCAAGGCAAGCGCAACCGCGGCCGAGAAGAGATCAGCTTCCTGGAGATCCGGGGCGACGACCAGCTGAGCGGAGTCCAGCAGTGGCTCACCAAGTCCCTGACGGAGGAGCAGAGCATGAAGTCCTTCAGCAAGGTCTGGGCGGGGGGCCCCAAGAAGCGGGGGTGGGGGGCCTTCTTGGGCCAAGGCCCCTGAGCTTCTCCTTTCCCTTCAGAAAAAGGGGGAGCAGCCCACCGGGCAGCAGCGAAGGAAGCACCAGATCACCTACCTGATCCACCAGGTGAGGCCCCCTCCCCCGTGCCTGCCTCCCTGCCTCCAAGGTGGGCCTTTTTGCTGACCCCCCCCCAATCTCTGTGCCCCCCTCCCCAGGCGAAAGAGCGTGAGCTGGAGCTGAAGAACAGCTGGGCAGAGAACAAGCTCAGCCGGCGTCAGACCCAGGCCAAGTACGGCTTTTAGTCCCTTCCCAGCCGAGGGGGGCCAACTCGGGACCCTGTTCTGCCAGGCAGCGAGGCCCGCTGGCCTGCCAGGGAAGCCGCCGCAGGAGGCCGTGCAGCCACCCCACCCCAAAGGGCCGAGGGTCCGTATCCGCTGTTGCCCCCTGGATTCACGAGGCTCCTGGGTTTCCCTCCAACCGTTTTTCTTTCAAGGAACCGCCAAGGCAGGGGGGAGCCTTGCCTGGATTGGCGGGGGCCGCCTGCCCCACCCCACCCCCGAGAATGCCCCCCCCCCCTGGGGGGCGGGGGGCTCTCCCGGTCCCCCCTGACGCCTGGCTTGGCTGTGGGGCTGCGTCCCCCCTCAGCATCCCTCCTGGGTGCTTGTGCTCCTGGCCGTGTCTGGGTCCTCTTGCTGGCCGCGGCACGGTCTTGTTTTCGTGAATTGGCACCGCTCTGCCCCCTCCCCACCCTTCCTGGTTTTGTTTGCCGGTCGTCCCCAGGGCCTCCCTGGCAGCCGGGGTTTCAATTTCAGAAACTGGAGGTCTCCCCCTCCCCTCCCCTGTCCAGGAGACCCACCTCTTCAGAACTTCCCGCCCCCCCCATAGCTTATTGGGTTTGTTTTTCTCAGACCGGTCCTTAAAAGGGGGGAGCACTTCATTTCCACTTAACGGACCTTCTCCAATGCGCAGAGCAAGCCCTGGAGGAGGGCAGGGCAGGGTGATGGTGTCTCCTGTGCCGCCACCCCCCATTGAGCCTGGGCAGCCCCCCCAGCCGACTCTTATCACGCCCCCCCTCCTCCTCCTCTGCTCCTGGTAGTCTTTGTCCACACCTGTTCAGAATTGTAGCCGTTTCCTGTTCCGCGGAAGGACGTCCCTTTTTGCTGCAGAGTATCTGTATTTAGGGGTTTGTTTTTTTTTCTAAAAAGATCTTGGTTTATTTCCCTGAACACTTTAGTACTTAGGAAAACTCTCTATCCCTATTTTGAATATTTGAAAATAAAACTCATTCAGTAATTGATTTGTTTTTTCCTTTTCCTTTTGGGATTCGTCTGGGGAAAAGGGTTACGGGAATAAAAATGAAATGAAGAATGGGCACAAGAGATGGCAAGAGAGGCCCAGGGCTGCAGTCCAAGGACACTTTCCGGGAAAGGGGGGGGGGAGGGTGGCCCTTGGGTCTGCAGCTGTGGAGGGACACCCCTCCATTTCTGCCAAGCGGGCCCCCCTTAAGCCAGGGGGGTCCTGCTAAGGAAAAGGACTGGCCCCCTTTGGGCTCCAGCTGCCCATGGGGAGGGGGCTGTTTTCTCCTCCCTGGTGGGAGTCCAGAGCCCATGATGAGCCCCCCTCCTCTGTGGGCTGCGGGTGCCCCCTGGGACTCGGCTCTTGGGGGGGGGACAGGCCTCATCCTGCTGGGCCTGAGGACCACTTGTGGAAGACAAAAGGGCTTTAAGCCCATAAAGGGCCCAATTCTGCTCCTGCTCCAGCTCTCCAGCATGGCTCTGGTTCTGGAGTCTCTCCCGCAGGCGGAGTTGGGCATTCCCCCAGGGAGGGTCTGGCAGGCAGCTCTCGACCCCGCTCCAGGACCCCCGGGGACTAGTAGTCGGGCCGGGCGCAGAGCCTTGCCGCGTGCCGGGCCCTCCTTGCGACCCCTGCGGAGCACTCGGGTCCCGAAGCGCATGGGGCGCCCCCCGCCGGGCCGCTCCTCCTCCAGGAGGGTCTGGCAGGCAGCGCGAAGGGGCCGAGCCGGTCTGCGGGGGGTGGGGGTGGGCGGCCGCCGTCCCGGCGCGGGGGCGGCTTCCAGCGCACTCCGGCGAGGAAGCGGCGGCGGGCGCTCCGGATCGCGCTCCCTCCCGTGCCTGAGCTGTAGGTACCCCGGGCGGGCGCTTTCCGCGGTGGTCGGGAGGGGAGGTTGGTGCTGAAAGGATGGACGCGTTTAGGCGTGCTGGGCCCCCGGGCGCGGGGTCTGATTCTCGGGGCGGTGGAGCGGGAAGAGCCGGGTCGAGCCAAAGGAGGAACCGAAGACAACTGCCGCTAGAAGGAAGAAGCCCTTCGCGAAACCGTTACAGGTCCCGAGAAACTGGTCCCGTTTCTTTGATGCCAGGACACGGGAGAGAGAGAATGTAAAAGACACCTGTCCAGGTAGCTGATGGCAGGCCGCGCTCAGACCTCCCTGTCCTGGAAAGCGAAGACGCTCCCTCTCTCAATCTGGTGAGACTGTGGGATTTCTGCCTCTCTCACAGCCTCGTTCCAGGGTTGAGATATGACTCAAGCTGCAAAAAATGCTGGCAGATTTGTTTTCCTCTCCTTTCCCCGACGGGCGTTTTGTACCCTGAGAGGGTGGGCTGTGCTGGGAAAGGATCCCATCAGAGAAACACAGTATGCTTGTTTGCGGGAGAGGAGGACGGGAAGGGAGGGGGGCTACGATTTTTCCTGGAGGTGGTTGCTGAGCGCCCCTTCCCCGAGCCTCACCGCGGAACCAGGCCTCGGCCAAAGCGCCTGCGTCGCCCGCCAGCCAAAATCCCCCGTATTTATGACATTCCTGGCCTGCATAAAAGGGCTGGAAGAGGATCAAGAATCCAGGAATTGCAACACATTTGTCCATTTAAGCCCTGCTCTTCCCTCGCCTTTAATGAGGCCTTTGTTCTCCTGGGCCGGAGACCGAAAGTCCAGTTATTCTCGGGCGGAATAAAGGGGCAGATTCCAGGGGACGCGGCAGCCCCCATCCCGCTTGGAAAGGAAAGCAGCCTGGCCGGGGAGGAGGGAGCCTGTCTTTGGGGACCTCCTCCCCCCCCCCCCGATGCTCCCTTGAGACCCTCGGCGTCTGCTCAACTTTCCGAAGGGCGTCACCAGGCGCCTCTCCTCTCCTCGGCTGCCCAAGGGACTCCCGAGAGCGGAAAGGTGGGACTCCCCCTCCTTCTTTCGGGCTCTTTCCACACCGCACCAGCCTCCCTAGACGCGGCCGCCCTTGCCCTGCCAGCCCCTCGCCCGCTGCCCTGCCCCTGCCAAGGGATGCGGGCCTGGTGGGCAGGAGGGGAGCTGCCGGATGCCCTCCTTGCCTGGCGGCCCGCCAACCTCCAAAGGCGTTTGAGGTGAATCTCGGTCACTGGGAAGAGGGGATGGGGACCCCCGCAGCCCCCAGGCACCTGGCTTTGCCTTTGCGGAGCGATCTGCAACCCCCGCCCCCCAGCCAAGCTGTGCAGCCCTGGAGGCGAGGGGAGGGGGGGGCGAGAAGGGGAAGCTGCTGCCGAGGCGGTGGAGGCGCTCAGACACGCAGGAGGCGGCAGTGTTCGGGGCAGGGCGCGGCCAGCCCGTCCTCCGAGCCGCCTTTCCTGCCTGCGACCTGCCTGGGAAAATCCCGAGGCCGCCGCTTCCGCTTGGCCGGAGCTGGCGGAGCGATTGCGCCAGCGCCAGCTGGGTCGGTGCAAGGGAGCCCGTGGCCGTGGCGACTGGGGATCGAGGTCCCTGGCCAGGGGGCCCCCCGCTCCTTCCAGGCCTCTCTCGGAGGCTGCCGGATCAACCCAGCGCCGGCGGACATGTGGTGGGTTCCCTTCGGGGCTCCGGAGACCGTCCGCCGGGAAGCCCGGCTCGGCTGTTTGTGCAGGTGCGCTGCGCAGCTCCGTTGCCCTCCCGCGGGCGGGCGAAGCTTCACGCACCAGGAAGCAGAGGCGACCGACTGCCCGCCCTGGGCGGGAGGAGCGGGGGAGCCGCTACAGCCGCGGGCCGGAGGGTCCCTCTCGGGGGTGCTGAGAGAGGAGGGGGAGGAGCCTCCCGCGTCCGGTAAGGGGTAGAAAAGCGGGCGCCTCCTGGCTCGGAAGTTCCTCCGCTCGAACCAGACGGGGGAGCCCTTCTCCTCCCCGGGAGTGGCGTCCAGCTGGGCGGGGCCAGGACGGGGGGGGGGGTGCGGAAGACCCCCGTTGCTTCCAGTACAGTCCCTCCTCCTTTAAGGTGTCTTCCTCCGGCTTCTGGGTCCGGCCGGCAGCCTGACATGACGCGGGGTGTCCCCCCCTCCCATTTGGATAGTGCGGAGGGGGGCGCGAGGCAGAAGAGCCCGCCTGCTGCTGGCCAAGAGCGACCCTCTGGCTTTCTTCCCTCTGCAGCTGATGGCGAGAGATGGAACCGAAACCTGCCGTGGCAACCCGGGGGCTGCAGGGATCCAGGTGAGGGGGGCACCAGGCCCAGGCTTCCCCTCCCTCCTTCCCCCTGCTGCCTCTTGCAGATAGCCCGAGGGGTCTGGGACAGGGTGGAAGAAAGAGGAGTCCCACCCCATCAGAAAGGGTCCGCAAGAGAAACCAGTTGGTTTCAAAAGCAGATTTTGTGAACTGCGGCTGCTGCGTAGAATGGCTGGAGGGACTGAAATTGGGGTGAGGTGGAGGGAGGGAAAGCGCTCACAGGTCCTCTCCAGCAACTCCCCCCCCCCCCAGGTCTAGGCCACTCCCCTTGTCTCTTCCAGGGAATCCTCTGCCCACACAGCCGAGTACCCCAGCCTTTTCCCTCTTGCCAGCCAGGCCAAATTGTAGCTCAGGCGTGGGTGCCCCTCTTGGCCACTCAGCCGCCTCCTTTCCTGCTGCCTCAGGTGCCCCCATGCAGCCTGGAAGATGATGAGGTTTTCCTGGGCACCGAGGCGAGGCCCAGTGCCGCCCAAGCGGGTCCCTTCCGCCACTGCAGCGTGGAGGAGCTTTACGAACTGCTGGAGACGCTGGGCAGGTGAGGCCTGCAGGCTATGGAGACCGGAGGGAGCCGCTCTGCCTCTTCCTCCTCCTCCTCCTTGCAGGGCTGTGAAGAAGGCAAGCAGGTAGAGGGGCTCCTGTGACCCACCAAGGCCGTTGGGGTCTCCTGGGCCTCATCACCCGCCTTGGCCGCCTCTGCCAGTCCCCCCACAGGACAGGAGAGGCCCCTCTGTGGAGCGCCTGACTTCTAGCCCCCCTGCCCTTCCTGCCACCTCCCCCCTGCAGCGGACACTTCGGGGTGGTCCGGCGTTGCCAGGAACGGAGCACTGGCGTCTTCTACGCGGCCAAATCCATCAAGGTGCGGAAGCGCAAGGGCAGCCGGCTGGGGCTGGACCGGGAGCAGGTGGAGCGTGAGGTCTGCATCCTGCAGCAGCTGCAGCACCCCAACATTATGCACCTCTACGACGTCTTTGCCAACCAGTCCGAGATGGTGCTGATCCTGGAGCTGTGAGTGCCCCGCGGGGAAGCGCCTCCTCCTCCCAAAGGGCCCTTTTGGGGGGTTTTAGGGGAGCCTTAGGGGGCTCCAGGAGTCGCTCACCCCTCGCCTCTCTGCAGCATCCTGGGAGGTGAACTCTTTGATTTCATTGCGGAGAAAGAGCTGCTCTCCGAGGACGAAGCCATCGAGTTCCTGCAGCAGATCCTGCTGGGCTTGGCCTACATGCACGCCCTCCGGGTCGCTCACTTTGACCTCAAGGTACGGCCAGGGGGCTTCCGGGGTGCCCCATGCCAGAGTCCGGGTGGGAGGCAGAAGCTCCCATCGGTCTCCCTTCTCTCCTGCAGCCGGAGAACATCATGTTGCTGGCGAAGGAGGCCCCGAACCCCAAGATCAAGATCATCGATTTTGGGCTGGCCCAGAAGCTGGAGGAAGGGGTGGTCTACAAAAGTCTCTGTGGGACCCCCCAGTACATCGGTAGGACTCTGGGCCCACAGAAACAGGGAGGCTGAGGAATCGCTTGGGCCTCCCCAAGTCCCACTTCTGTCACAGCCAAGCCCTGGCTGGGAGAAGGAAGGGACGGTTTCGCTCTGGGGAAAGCAGGGGGCTGCCTTATCGGCCTGAAGACGCCTCCCCCCCCCCCGCGGGGGGGGGAAAAGAATTTTTGGGCCGGGGGGGGGGGGGCCCTGAGGAGGTCTTGGGGAGCCCAATTTGGTCTCCTACTTCCTCCCCTCCATTTTTTTCTCCCCAGCTCCTGAAGTGATCAACTACGAGGCCCTGAGCACAGCCACAGACATGTGGTAAGAGGCAGCCATGGGGGAGCGAGGACGAAGTGGGGGGGGGGCATCCTGCAGACCTTGGATAAGCCCTGTGGGGGAAGGAGGGTCAGGAAGTGGTTGCAGGCAGTTTCTGTCTCGGGCTGCTCAGCTGCAGCTGTGCAGAGGAAAACCCCTTTCCTGTCAGGGAGGGGCCTCTTTGTTCCACCCCTCCCTGTGTGTACCTTGACAAGGTCTCTGGGGACAGAAATGACCTCTAGCCGAGAAGAGCCCCCCCCCCCCCGGGCCTTCAGCGCTCCCTTTCCTTACTCCTAGGAGCATTGGGGTGATCACCTACATCTTGTAAGTACCTGAAGGTTTTTTTTTCCCCGGGGAGGGAAGTGCTGGGGGCCCCCACTCAGCAGACTCTGAAGGGGATGGAGTTGACTGTGGGGGCAGGCAGAGTTCAGCTCCGAGGGAATTTGGCCAGCTTTGAAAAAGGGAAATGGAAGCAATCGGGAAACTCAGACCCCCCAAACAGCCCCCCCCCTTCCCTGCCCCCCTTTTGAACTGACCTCTTGAGGGCTCTTGGTGGGCTCCTTCTGCCTGGGGCAGGGGGAGGATGGATCTCTGGTCCAGCGTGGCGGCTCTGATGCCCCCCCAATCCTCCCCCCCCAGGCTGAGCGGGATGTCCCCATTCCAGGGGGAGACGGATGAGGAGACCCTCTCCAACGTGGTCTCCGGGAATTACGAGTTCGAGGCCAAGTATTTCAGCCAAACCTCGGAGATGGCCAAGGATTTCATCCAGAAACTCCTGCTGAAGGAGCCCAGGTAACGCCCGGCCCAGGGCTGCGGCTCCCTCCCCAGGCCCTGCAAAAGGTGGGCGATGCCCTCCCTGGGCAGGAGCAGCACCCAGAGGGGGGAGAACGTCCTTCCTGGAGCAGAAAGTAAGGACCAGGACAATAAAAGGGAGGAGTAGCACATGTTGGCAGGATGGCTGCTCCCACAACTGGGGTCCCTCCTGGCTCCCTTCCGCCCCCAAGGAGGACAATGGATTTTGGTCTGTGTCTTAGGGACCGAATGACGGCCACTGAGTGTCTCCTTCATCCCTGGATCAAGGTAAGCCTCCCTCCCTCCCTCCCTCCCTCATTCCCTCCCTCCCTCCCCCCCTTCCAATTTTTCTCCTCCTGCCCCTCCAGCCCCTCACCCGGAAGCAGGCCATGAACCGGAGCCGTTCCTCCATCAACATGAAAAACTTCCGTAAATTCAACGCTCGCCGGAAGTGGAAGGTGAGCTCCCCCCCCCCAGCTCAGCAGCAGAGGAGCCACTTGCCGCTCCCCCCACCCCCCCATGCTGGGCAGCCGGCCTCATGGGCCGCCTGTCCCAGCCTCAGCCTCTCTCCTCCCTCCGCAGCTGTCCTTCCACATGGTCTCGGCCTGCAACCGTCTCTGCCGCCTGCGGCTCCTGTGCCAGCAGCAGAAGCCGGACAAGGAGGCCATGGCCCTGGTGGGTGCAGGGGAGGAGCCCTTTCGCTGCCTTGGGGTGGGGTGGGGGCGGGAGGGCTGCCTGCCCCCCTGACCTTCTCACCTTCCTGGCTCTGGGCTGCAGCGGGACTGCGAGAGCGACCAGGAAGACCAGCCCTGCAGCCCGGGAGTCTTGCTCCGCAGGCGTCGAAGCATCTGCTCCTGAGTTCAGCCAGCCTCCGTCCTTCTGCCCATGCTCAGAGGCCAGGGCGACCACGTGGGAGGAAAGACCCCTCCCGGAAGGAGGCAGCGCTTGGCTCTTCTGAGTGGCCAGAAATGGGAGGCTGCTCAGCGCAGAGAGGGTGGGGTCCTTCCCTGTCCCACCAGCTGCTCTGGGGGGGCAGCCTCAGTGGGGTCCTGGAGGGGAATGGAGACGGGGGTCCTGGGGGTCTCTGCTCTCCTTGACTCTGGGGTTGTGGGGAAAGGCCCTTTTCATGCAGTGGGGAGGGCCCCTTGCTGCTCCCCCCACCCCACCAAACCCCCGGGCTCCCCCTGCATTGTTTGGAGAACCGTCCTCAAGCGTCTGACCAAGAGCAGCCGGGAGCGACGGCCTGGCCGACTGTAACTTTTAAAAAAAATATATACATGTATTTGTCAAAAGGGGAAAAGCCCCACAGGAAGAAGGTGTTGCGTGTCGTTCTTTTGTGTTTCACGGGTTTGCATTCCGATGGCAAAGTGGTCACAGCAATGAGGTGGTCGATGCAAGGACAGGCAGAGAGGGGTCAAGAGGCTAAGAAGTCCCCCCCAAAGGTCTCCTCCTCTTCCTCCTCCTCCTCCCACACAATTCCAGCTGGCTGCAGGGGCCAGGGATGGCCACCAGGGGGCAGCTCACTCCCAGTGTTGAGAGCTCTGGCGCCAACTTCCCTCTCTGGGGGAAAGTGCCCACCGCCTTCCCCAGTTCACCCACCGGGCGGTGGGTCTGGGCTTCCACTGGCCGGGCAAAGAAAACAGCCAGGACCCTGGGCCTGCTGGAGGGGGAGAGGAAAACCCCTGAATTAACCCCTCGCCCAATGTCCTCTTAGCTTCCTGTGGGTCATCCAGCGCCCCGCAGGGGGGAGATCCCTCCCAGCCCCTCCTCCCTTGGCTCTGCCCTCCTGGGCCTCTTTGCACCCCAAGGTCCCCCCGCTGAGCTGAAAGGCCTTGGGGGCTTTGCCTCTCTGACGAAGGGGGAGGGGGTCACCTTGCTGCTTCCTTTCCCAGGGCTCCTCAACCATTGCCCCCCCCTCCAAATCCCACCCTGAACGGGGGGGTAGGGGAAGCGCCTGGGCCTGTGGCTCCCCCCTGCTTATTGACCAAACACGAAGGGCAGCGCTTGTGGGTGCCAGCCCATCTCGCTGGAGTTGTCAGGCTAAATATTTTGAAGGGAACAGGTGAAAACAGCCCTTAGAACGCATCCAGCCCCTGGCAGAAGGCCAGGCAGGGCCGGGGGGGGGGGCGTGCGCGAGGGAGGAAGGAGGCCCGGCCCCACCCAGCCACCTGCCACACCTAGGGCTCTCAGCTGGCCATGCCTCCATTTTCCCAGCCCTTTCGCTGCGGTGTGAACATGCCGGAGGATGTTGGTGGTCGGGGACAAGGGCCCCCTGCCTCCCTGCTTCAGACCGGCGGCCCCACGAGCAGCAGGGTGCTCCTCTCTCTTGTGCCCCCCTGGCACCAAACGATAGTCCAGGGCTGCTGCCAGCCGAGAAGCCAGCCTGGCCCCCCCTTGCCCGAAGCACTGCGGGCTGCCCTGCCACTCGCTTTCCTGCCAGCGCCGGGCCGTTTATGGACCATGGAGAAGAAGGGGAGACGGCGAGACTCTGGTGCGCACCTGTGGCCCATCCGGGGGGCCCTGCTCTTCCTCTGCCTGCTGGGGCTCGGCCCTGCACCAGCCTCTCCAGAAAGTAAGTCCCTCCTGGGTTGAGTGAGGTCAGCCTCCGGCCAGGCACAAAGGCACAGGACTTTGCTGTCCACCCCCTTCCCACCTGGGGTGCCCAGGGCACAGGCGGAGCCGGGCTGGGTCAGCCTAGGGGGCATCAACTGGTGGCCCCATCCACTGGATGCCGGGATTTGAGGTGGCATATCTCAAGCCAAAACTAGCCAGGGTGGCTATGAAACCGGCATTCAAAGTTTAGCCTCTTGTGTGAGCTTGGCTCGTGGCTCCAGTCAGCGGGAAGCCCTTAAAATGTGCTTGTTTGTGCGTCTGTGTGAGAGAAACTGGACGAAAAGGGCTGGTTGGAGAAATTGGCCTCAGGACAGAAATGGGGATTGTAATAAAGGCAGAAAAAGCAGCCAGGGTCCCTCTCACCACCCCCGCCCAGGTTTGGCTCTGGCAAGCAGCGGGAGGAACCCACCTTGCAAACCTAGGTTTGAAGTGGCTCTTTCTAGAAAATTATTCCCTGAGACGGCTGAGGGGTCAGCGCTTGGCTCCTCTGCTGATAAGGCCAGAAGAGAGAGCTGGATTAACCCATTGTCTTCTGTTGGCATCGGGGGGGGGGGGGCAGAGGGTCAAACTGCAAAGGAAGAGCGGTTCTGTTTTCCTCTCAAGTTGGCACGGGGCTCAGGGCAAAGCGTTTCTGCTGGATGGTCAGCGGCCTCTCCGCTCAGAGGCGGCAGTCGAAGGTTGTTTCTGCAGAGAAGAATCCACCAAGGGAGAAGACATTTGTCCTGGGGGAGGGGCCACAAAGGGCGTTTGGAGCAGCAGCCAGAAATCTCATTTCTGCTACAGGGGGTCTGCAGCGTGAAAGAAGGCAGAGCCCCCAACCCAGGAGCCCTGGCCCACCGGCAGCCTCGCCTCTCTTGCAAGGGGCTCAGGGGTGCAGAGGGGGGGGGTTGTGGGGGGAGCAACACTCTGGTCTTTGCTGGTTCCAAGCCACCTTCTGCTACAGAACTGGGATGGGGGGGAGGAAACGGTGGCTGCCCTTTCGCCCCTTAGCCCACCCCCCTGGAGATGCAGGAGAGGAACTTCCAAGTGCTGACCAGAGCTGGAGATCCATCCCACCCGTCAGGGTCCCAAGTCCATCCCAGACACACACACACACACACACACACACACACACACACATCCTGTTCTTCATCCTCTTGCGGGATTTATAGGCACAAAGACACTTTGGGGTGTTGTCAAACAAGCAGAACCAAACAGCAGCTCTCAGGACGCCACTTTAGCCAGACTGGCTGGGGGAAGGTCCTTCCCTGCCCCCCCCCCCCCCCCCCCCCAAGGGAGGAGAGAAAGCAGGAGCATCTCTAGGGACCCACTCACACCTCCCTCCCCATTAAACTGTATGGAGGCTCCTAGCTGGAACCAGGATGGCAGCGGGGGGGGGGGGGGGGGCCCCGGGGCCCAACACCCGCCGGGGGGCCGGGGGGGGGGGCCCGGGGGGGGCCCGGGGGGGGGGGGGGGGGGGGGGGGGGCACCCGGGTTCTAAAACTGGCAGGGGTGCCTTTCAGCAAAGTCGATGGGCATCTAACGAGGCATTTCATCAATTAACAAGCCATTAATTAGCAGCATCTGCTAATTCAGAGGCTTTCTGCCAATTTCTGCAGTTTTTAAAAGGAAAGGCTGCTGTTGTTTTTTTAAAGCAGGGAATGGAGCGAAGCATTGGAGGGGTGTCCCTCCTCCCTGCCCCAAAGAGAAAGCGGGGGGGCGGGGGGGCAGAAGCAAAGGACCATAGAAGAGGACGCCCCTCCGCCAAGACCAGCCACAGGACCGAAAGGGCCAAGGGGAAAGTTGGGCCAAACTGAGCCCTGGTTCTCCTCCACCTCTCAGTTTCCACCCTATGGCAGATATTTATCGATTCTTCTGGATAGTTTCCATCAATGAAGCAAAGCTATGGATGCTCCCTCCAGGTTTTTCCACCTCAGGCCCAGAAGAGAGAGGCCCTGGGGGTCAAAGACCAGGCCCAGCCCCGTCCATCCAAGACTTCACACGAGTTTGGGTCGCTGAGACTTTGGTTGGGGTTGTTTTACAGGCGGTGAGGATCCGCCGGCTGGGTCCCTGGATGGGGTCATGCAGTGGCTCCACCTCCTTCCAGGGCTGAGGACAGGCTGGTCCCCTGTGCCGGCCTTCCGCTCTCAGCCCCACGGAGGAAGGTCGGAGGGCAACTTCACCAAGGCTGGCTGTGACTTCCTGCCTGCCATTTCTTCTCTTTGACAAGAGGAGGGATGTGTTTGGGGCACGGCTGCCCAAGGCGATGGGATGAGGGCTGGGCAATGCCAGGAATTGGGCTGCTGTGATGCCAACCCCACCACCTGTGGGGTCCCCCCCTCCTCTTCAGAGCCTCCTCAGCAAACACAAGGCTGGGAACAGAGAAACGGCACCTGTTTAAACAGCAGCCGAACCCAGCCCTCCCCTCTCTGCAGGAGGCGCTTCCCAGGGAGGGGAGGGGCCACGGAGCCCGCAGGCAGAAGTGGGGGCGGGTGGGGGGCTCCTTTCTGGTTGAGCTGGTATCCCTCTCTTGTGCCCGGAGTCCTCTGGGCCTGCACTTGGCCAGCAATGGTGAGGGCTACTTGATAAAGCAGAAATGGAAGGGGTCTGGAGGAGGGGCTCTTAATACAGTGGGCCCTCTAAGATGTCTAAAGCCCCCCTCACCCCCCCCAGGCTGGAATCCAGCTGCTGTGCCAGTTGTGCCTCCAGATGGTGCCAAGCTTGGAGGATGCTACCTTGGCACTGCAGCAGCAGGCATGGGCAGGGGAGCCTTGGGGCTCCTGTGCAAATGCCAGATTCGGGGGAGGGGCTCAGCTCCAAGGAAGGTCCAGATGGCAGCCCTGCTCACCGGGCACTTTGCCAGCCGTTGCTGGGACAGGTCAAGGACAAGAGGCCCCTCGTGAGCAGTGAGGCAGTTGGCACAGGCCAGGGTGGGCTGCAAGGGAGCACCTGCAGGGACACACCAGCCACTCTCCCTGGAGGGACGGAGCCCCTTTTGGGCCATTTCATTGCGCCTCTCATCCTAAGCCACACCGGGCCGTCCCTGAGCCAATCTCTGGCCTGCACTTTTGCCCAAGGAAGGCTGTGCACACAGAGCAACTGACGAGAGGGAGAGGGGAGAAAGGAGGAAAGGCTTCGCAGGGCGGCTGCAGAGCTCCCGGACGGCAGGTCCCCTAACTTTCCGCTTGGCCCCGCAGTCTGCGAGAGCATGGACATCCGCGTGGATCCCGCGCAGCTGCGCCGCCTGGAGAACTGCTCGGTCATCGAGGGCAGCCTGCAGATCTTGCTGATGTTCACGGCCAGCGGCGAGGACTTCCGCTCGCTGGCCTTCCCGCGCCTGGTGCTCATCACCGAATACCTGCTGCTCTTCCGCGTCTACGGGCTGGAGAGCCTGCGCGACCTCTTCCCCAGCCTGGCCGTCATCCGCGGGGGCAGCCTCTTTTTCAGCTACGCCCTGGTCATCTTCGAGATGCCTCACCTGCGTGACATCGGGCTGCGCAGCCTGACCAACGTGCTCAACGGCTCGGTCAGGATCGAGCGCAACCAGGAGCTCTGCCACATCTCCACCATCGACTGGGCGCTGCTGCAGCCGCCGCTCGCGCTCGAGCAGAACATCATCTTGCACAACAAGCCGGCCGAGGAGTGCGCCGACGTCTGCCCGGGCATCCTGGGCGGGGAGGAGCCCTGCGTGCAGACCCCCGCCGGCCTGGCCGG